ATACATAGCAGTTTTCAATATGATGCTATGCCTTCAAGTATCTCAGCTCAAGGTGGCAACATAGTAAAGAATGCTATACTCAAAACTAGAACTGGATGCCAGTCATGGCATTCTTACTTGCAAGTCATTAACTTCAACTTTGCTTTTGAAATGTGCATGGCAGTTCTGTTTTCTGTTCTGCCTTTTCTAATTGTATAACTGTGAGGGTGAAATAAATGTGTTAGAGACTTTGTAAGCAAGTATATCTAAACAGATGGAGCACTTCACTTCTGACTGATGCTGCAGAGAGAATTTCTCTTCTCTAGCTTAAATTTAAAAGACCCTCTAGAGATGTGCTTAAGGAGGAAATGCTAGGCCATCAGCTATGACCCTGTCCTTAGTGTGACTGCATAGCAGCAGTGCAAGAGTCAGGTGGTCAAAAGATAGAATCCCACGTGATCAATGAGAGTCTTCACTTTCAGTGTCAGAATTTTTGGCACAAAAACACTTTGTCTATTTAACTATACCCTCAAATAAGCATGCATTCTTAAATGTACACATTTTATTCAGAAAAGAAAATAATTTTAAGTACTCCTTGTTTGAGATCTCTTATAAATGTTGTAAATTATTCCAATAAGAATTTCAACATTCTATTTTGTTTGAATGCATGACATTATTAGGCTTACTTTATGAACAAATATTTGCCTTCCTAATCTTAGAGCTACTTATACAATATTGCTCAGCAAGGTGACAAAGAAGCACCCATGCTTGAGTCAATGGAAATAGCATATGGGATAGCCATGATCCTGTGATGGAGAGTTAGTGAGATGCCTACTACTCCATAATGCTTAATCTGCTTTCAATTAAATGTTGCTAAATGTCATTTCGTCAAATATATTAAGAAAATTGAGGCCTTACTGTCTAAAAGCCTCAGTGTGGAGTGAATACCAAATGCGTCCACATACATTTACTCCCACATGTTCATCTGCTCTGCAGCAAGACAGAGCAAATTCAGTCTAATAATGCACATGACCAAACCTTATCTAATATCCATTGGATATATTTTAACCCAAAATATATATTTATTCTAAGAAAGAGTGGGTCATTAGAGTATGAGAGTTTTTCATAGCCTGACATTTACAGGGACAAGCTGTGCTTACTTAGTTTTCATTGTCCTTTTTAGAGAAGTTCATCCTTGCCTGAAGGATCTCAGTGTAGGTGAGTACACACCAGAGGGTGGAATCTGCTGAGTTTCTGTCTTGAACCACAAAGAATGCAGCCAGTCAACCAAATACAAACACTAACACATTATTCCCTTGCCACCTGTCCATTCGGGCTCAATGCCATGTAAAGTTTGGCTTTAGAGTTAAGGGATTGTGGGTACAGAAAGCTTGTTGATTGATTGGGAAATGTAGCCAGACCAGCAAGGAAACGAAGAGAGATAGTTTGAGTTTCTAGGGCACTTGCTCTTCCTTCATTGATTTCAAGTAGCTTTGCACTGACCCCAAGTAAGTATCTATTCAGGAGCTAGTCCAAACCAAGCAGGTATTAACAGTGGTACCTTTGTCTTTGATCACTTAGTTCCACACCTGTCCTGTTATCTCCACTCAGCTTTGTCTCTAATTAAACTCAGAGTTATTTATTTTTTCTTTTAATGAGATCATTCTAAATCCCATTTGCTCACTACTAAGGTTGTTTAAATAACATGTCTACAGCAGGTTATTAAACTAGAAAGACACTTTTCATCGTTGCCATCAGATCATTAACAGTGAGGGGTTTGATTTTCAGATAGAAATAAAGAGGGGGAAGAATGCTAGAATGCAGAAACCAAAACTCCAATGGATTGCACAGGCAAAACTTTTCCAAGTCTGTTGATCAATCGTGGAATTTAGATTGTATTATGGGTATGCTCAGTATCAGCTCCAACAGTCATGGAAGATTTCCTTTCAGGAAACATCAGCTTCCCTTTAGTGGATGGTAAACGAGATAGTCCTGTCTGACTACTTATTAGTACTGACACCGTGTCAGTAGTATGAGCTCATTCTAAGAGAGAGACATGTCTTCATTCACTGTGCATTTAATAAGCATTCATCTATTTATTGGTCATTATTAGGGATGGTTTCATGTTGCTCTCAAGAATAAGATTTACCCCCACATCAACTCTCTCAATAGCCTTGCTAAGTAATATGTTTCTCTATTGTAAACAGTACTATCTTCTTTAGGACCAAACGATACAGCTAGTTCTACTGAGTTCAAACCATATTGCATTTTAGGTACATATATTGTTTCAGTTACACATCATTATCTCTATAATAACAGCCAAAAGCTTCTTTGGAATTTTATTTTTATCTCTTCAAACAGGAGGTGTGTCACTGTGAGATGCAAGAACAGGAATGTTGGCTGCCATATTTTCTGTTGTGATGGCAAAACTTGGTTTGATAAATACACAATAAGAGGAAAATAAGCTTCTAAACACACTCTAGTTTCTGGTCTGAAAATAGTCTGGGAAGGTCTATCTAAACTTTGAGTCATGATAGATACAAAGTAATGTTCCAGAACACTTTTCCTAAGATTGTGTAATGCAATATAGTATCTTTGTGTTGCGGAGGTATAGTCTGATAAAACTGTTACCTTCAGGTTATAATGATGCCCTTATTTCTCCCAGGAAATTGATGGGGTCCCTCTTCAAGATCTTTGATTTCTTCTGAAATTACCTCTCTACCTTCCTCATTATTTATTATTGATCAGTTGGTTGTGACAGTTCAATAAATAATAGTGATTAATTCTTCCCATCCACATGATCATATGTGAAAGATCTGGTCATGAGTGCTTTGTTGTTGAAAGACACTAATGCTAGACTTAGATGGCTTACCTTCTGCTCTATCTTTTCTATGATTCTACATCTATTGTTCTTGTAGGATGATATCAGTTCTCAATTTGAATTCTATTTTTGTACACTATATTGATAATATTTTGATTTTTCTTATTTTGAGACAAGGATCTCATTATGTAACCCTGGCTGGCCTGAAACTCTCTATGTGGACTAGGCTGGTTTCAAAATGACAGAGATCCTGCTGTCTCTGCTTCAGATTCAGGGAAAAGATTGTGTGCTAATATGCTCCACAACAATAGGTCTTTTGAAGGCTTTCTTGTTCTTTCTGTAAACCTTTCCTGGACCATCCAGGGTCTATGTATGATGACTACAAGGGAGAGGGAACTAAATTTGGATGCTAATTGTCTAATTGTCATTATCTTTATGTTGTAAATTTTCTGTGAAAACTGAAAACTTAGACTTAAGTTAGGAATGAGTTCTAAACAGAACAAATCTGGTGGGAAAGAAAGACAATTAAAAAACTGACTGCAAATTCTAGGTAATGGTTCCTTGTCCAAGATTCAGTGAACTGTGCTTTTAAGAAAGACATCTTCCTGTAGATTGGCAAGTAGTTTGTGGAGGAATGGCTTTTTAGTTAAATCTCAAATATGAAAAGAATTTCAGCAGAAAAAAAGTCTCTCGCCAGACAATGCCCTGCCTAGGAATCACCCTAGAGTCTCTTCTCAGCCCTGTAACACATGCAGACATAAGGAACACTATGTTTTCATAGCTGAGGTAACTGCTGTCCTGTATTAAACCCTGCAGCTTCTTCATGATGTAAGTATTTGCGTAATTTTCAGTGACCGCCCTTAGGGAAAATGTGGCTTTATCTACTCTTTCATAGAGAGAAATTTGAAAAATGTGTGTGTGTGTGTGTGTGTGTGTGTGTCTGTTTGCGGGGTTTTTTTTTTTGAGTTCATATTTCAGTTCAAGTATTGCAGTTTCTTTCTTTTTTCTTTCTTCTTTCTTCCTTTTTTTTTAAATTTTGGTTTGATTCAGATAGATCTATTCAATCTCCCACAAGTGTTCCTCCCGCTTCCCTACCTCTGGGCAAATTTTAAAGTTATGACTCATCAAACATAAGTTAGATGTCCAAGCTTTGTTGCTCTGTAAAGCAAGACTGCTCACAAAGTTGATCTTTTGCTAGTTTTTCTCAGAAAGCTTTATTTATGTGTTTCTTTTACTATATAATAATTCTTTGCAACAAAGTATTTCTATTTCAACCAAACTCAGTCTACAGAGTTTTATTTAAAGAATATATCTTATATTACATTACGCTTGGTACACTCAAACTGCATATAACTGTAACTTAGATGTTTCAGTTTAAAGAAAGTTCAGGAGACCTTGAGATTTAAGAAGTACATGAAGCAGTTTTTCTGATCTGAATTTCATTTCCATATTGCAAATATCAAATGCTCTAAAGAATATTTGCCCAACCCATCGTTTCTAATCCCAGGGACTTTTCTATGTTCCCTCTTCACCTCGTTAAGCCTTTATTCTCTTTACGCTTAGAGTCCTCTGAACAAACCTCCCTGTGTCCACAGCAAATAAGCCCTGACCCCAAGCAGCTGACTTCTTGTTCATCCAGATGGAAATTAAACTTCAATGTGCATATTGCAAACACCTGCCACCACCTGTTAAAAATGCAAACTGTGGACCAGGAGGCAGGTAGAGCTTCCAATGGGGAGGGGCCCTCTCCAGTAGCCTAAGACACTTTAATTCTCAGGATGGCCTCCTGTAAACCCTCAAGTCAAATTTGAATTTTTCAGTGCTGTTTTGACCCTGGCTATCACAGGTGGAATTTAGAATTGTTCCTTTTTTCACATTTTGCTTATTTTAAGCCTCTCCAAAAAGATTCTTGCTTATGTATCAGATTTAGGGAGAATGTTAGAATTTGCATGTTTGGCTTTGAGCTTAAAGATGATCGTATTTATGAAGAAAATGTAAGTTCTCCCCCTCTCCCATGCTATATTTTGATGCTCATTTCTGGCAGTTTTAAACCCTTATATATTTGTATGGATATATAAAATTCATAAACCCCTGAAAAGTTAAGAGGGTGAATTTTATATGCTAGTTGGTTACTGAGAAGTTACCTCTAATATTTCTGCGATACTGTGATGACCAGATGACGTCTTCTGAGCTATCCATATTTTTAAACCAGTCTAAGTTTTCTGTTTTTAATTGTTACAAAACTAACTAAATAACTAAATGAAAAAGCAATGTGATATTTATAAAACTCATCTGTTTTCATTAAACTAGAGTGTGCCTGTTTTTTCACAGAAACATGAAGTGAGTTGCTTTAAGGAACTTGTCAAATCAAAGATAGCCATATGCCAGAAAGGCATTCAATAAAAAGCAACTTTTTTTTTTAAGATACCAAAAAGCAGAGAGCAATCACAATGTTCCTTCTATTCCTTTGCTCTTTATGAAAACAATGCAACAACCTCTTTCTTCTAAATGTGTGTAAAATCTTTCAGCAGCACACAGCTCCAGGCCTGCACGTTTCTGGGGGTGCACAATATAAATACACTGGGGATCTGTACTAACTATTCTAAGTATGGCAAGATAAGTAATTCCTGGAGGAATCACTCTGACCTGTCATGACTCCCAAAGCAATAAGTGAGCATTTAGCAACAACTGGACACAGCCTACAACCTGCAACAACTGGACACAGTCCACAATTTGCAGGGATCATTCATTCCCTGAGCTGTAAAGAAAGGTCTTCTCAGGGCCACAGTTCTTAGCCTGGAGGAAACTCTCTTCTCCCTGGTTCTTCCCATCATCCCCTCTCTGAGCCATCTCTCCAGTGTCCTCTGCTGACTGTTATCAACTGGACACAACTTAGAATCTGGGGAGGTGAGTATTCACAAGGAACTAATAGATCAGATTGACTTGTAGGTGTTTACATGACAAATTTTGAAGGTTAATTGATGTAGGAAGACCAAAGTCACTGCTGTGAGTTCCTTTCCTTTGCCAAGTGGTAATAAACAGTCTAAGAAATAAGAAAGGTGGCTGAGAGCAAGCTAGCAAGCTAGCATGCTTGAATCACTCAATCTCCTTGACTCCAGGTGCGCTGTGATTAGTAGTTTTAAGTTGCTCCCGGCTTGACTTCACCACCATCAAGGCCTGCAATCTGGAACTGAAAAATAAAAATGAGCCATTTCTTCCCTAATTTGCTCTTGGTCAGGATATTTTAGCAGAACTACAGGAAGAAAATTATAATCAACACTCTATATGTTTAGTTCCTTTGTACTTCTCAAAAACCTTATCTTCATTTTGTTTTCCAAACTCTTATTTCTCGAGCCTAGCCTCTCACTATCAAAATTCACAGCCCATTTTGTACTCTTTTAAAATATAACCATAATGTTGCCTTTTGTTGATGCAAAACACCCAACTTGCACTTCAAATTGGAGAAGAGACTTTACTCTGAAATCAAGTACCAGTGACCATGGCTTGGAGAACACAGATTTAGCTCACCCCAAATCCATGGTGCAATGTATAAACAGTCTGATGTTTGGTTGCTGGAAACTACTGCTCTGCCTGTACATTCCAAATGGTTTATCTAATAATCACAAAGTCATTAGGTCAGTCACAGAAATGGGCAAGAAAAGCTCAAAAGATGGCCTATGATATTTAGCTCTGGAGTTGCAAGATTTCAAACTGTCTCCAACCATTGGCATTCTAACCAATTAATTAGCCTTACAGAAGGTACAGCTGAAGAAGGATTTACACTCTCAAAACACTGTTTGTGTCTTTCTGACACTTGGGTTTCTTTACCAGGATTGCTTTCTTTTGCAGCCCACACCTCTCAATTACCTTCCTCTGTCTGTTTTATTTTTATAGATGTTGCCAAAAGTAAACACACAGGCCATGAATAGGACTCTTTTCTTCAGTGCTAGAGAATGAACACATCTATGGTTATATATATAATGTATATATACATTAGACAAGTTCTGATGTTTCAGATACATCCCCAGTTTTAAGAGAACCCTTAGCTAAGTCTTGCCAGTAAAGGTAGAATAGGAGGTCTTGCATTATCACCAGTCTGGTGTGTTTCTTAGTTCTTTTCCTTTTTTATACATATTTATTTTTATGTGTACATTTATGTGCCTGAGTATTTGAATGTACCTTCAGGTGCCAGGGGAGGCCAGAGACATGAGATTCCCTTCAACTGGAGGGACATACTCATGACATGGATGCTGCAAACTGAACCAGGAACCTCTGAAAGACAAGCAAGGGCTCTTCACTCCTGAGCCAGCTCTCCAGACTCCAGGCTGCCACCATTTCTTTGAACAGTCTTTCCTTCACTACTATTAATTTTAATAATTTTGTTTACTTTGGCATTTGAAATTGCATTTCTGAAAATTTATATGTTGCTTATTTTTGTTCTTTGATTTGCTATTTTTGTCAGAATCAATGATTCCTAAGAGATTTGAGATATTGTCTCTATTTTCCTTTTGTAAGTGTGTGAAAAATTGTTGGCAGTTTGGAGAGAATCTATTCATTTTGTTCATTTGCTTATTCTCATAAGAGATTTTCACTTTTCTATTTTTTCCCACCCAAAAAGTATGCTTCTTGATAATATATAATGTCTATATTATATACTTTTATTTTAATCTTAGATCTATTTAGATCCATTGGTCTTGTGTGGAGTTGTAGGTCGACATGTATCTGCAGACTCAATTAAGAAATACAAGCTCACAATTGCTAGGTTTCAGAGTTTGTAAAGAATGCCAGCCTGCCATCCAAAGCAATGTGCCCCTTTCCATCCTTCCCACAATGGATAAGAATTCCTGCCAAGTCAGCAACTGAACGAACAGGAAAGTGGATGGAACTGGAAATCATCCTGTTAAGAGAAGTAAGTCAGACACAGGAAGATGAGTTTCACATATTTTATCTCTGTGTGGAGATTATATTTTAAAAATGTATACACAAAGGACCTGAAAGAAGAGGGGAACTGTTTGGAGGAGGAAGTGGAATAGCATGAGTGGGAAGTGTGCCTAAGAGGGAGCCAGGGGCAGGAACTAAATGCTGCACATAGGAGAACCGGTCATAGTGATGCTCATTATTTTGTAACATTAGTATATGCTAGCTGAAATGTTCTTAATTAAAAATCTGTTGATCAAACAAATAACTTTCTGCTTTGAATTCACGCGTTTGTGAATTTTTAATCAAAGGTTCTGTCACAAGTGTATTGAAATATTGAGGAGAAAAATTCTAAAGGAAAAAATTACTAAGTGTTACAGAAGAATTTATATGCAGACTCAATGGAACTAAATTATCATGAAGAAAGCTGGAATTCCCAAATTTGGATTTGAATAACAGTTTTGTTCTTATGGAACCAAGAAGCTGGCCTTAACACATACCTTATTTTTTCTCACCTCAAATTTTTTTGGGAATTTTTGAGAATAAAATTCATGCTAACACTGCATGTGACAAATCCAAGATGTAGAAGGGGAAAACAGGACAGTACAATCATGTACAAAGATACAATTAAAGGTACAGAGCCTAACATGGTCCTGCTATAGGTTCAAAGAAATCACCAAATCATTTACTGACATCGCCTAAGCAACTCCATAGAAGACTCTAACCTGCCACTGGGTTTTTATCTTCTCTGATATTTATATTTTCTTATCTGGAAAGGAAATGCACAGAGATATAGAGATAAGATTTTAGTGCAAATGTATTAGCTATTTTTATTTGGTAGCAATTTGAATTATGCTATTAGGATAAAGTAAATGTAACATTCTTTTAATATTCATGAAATTAAAATTTACTTTAAATCTCAAAAACTAAGTATAGTAATAATGTCAATAAAAATGAATTCCACATTATTATTGCTAATTATTGTTATTATTTTGTTTTCTGTCACAGCAAATGCTGGGTTCTACAAACAATAACAGCAAAACACTTAGTAAAATAGAGGTAAGAAAACAACAACAACAACAAAACCTAAAACTAATGTTGATAGCTTGTCAGTGACCTTCATGCTCAGGCCTGAGACACTGGGTTGGTGGCAATCATCACACACTGAATGTGGCTTCTGTTCAGACAGCACTGGAGGGAAGACACGTGAGTAGGCTCACATGTACTCAGGAGAACCTGCTTCACCTGTCTGTCCTAAAAGCCTAGAATTGCATCACCCCCATTACATGGGTAAGTAAGCTTTTACAAAATGGATACGCTACTGCTAACAGTATCTACATTCAAACCCATAACCTTATCATAGCCATACAATTACCTTACTGTCAAGAAGAACGGCCTATCTTATTTTAATAGGTAAGTTTTACGTGTTTATGAACATCGCACAAACCATCTAGAATATACCAGTAACACACTCTATAAGAAAAAAGGACTGAAAACTTTTGAACTGTCAGTGTGTGTGAGTGTATGTGTTTTGTGTAAAAGAGTGATGGGCTTCTTTATTTGGTTATTACAGAAAGACAAATTATTACAATGTCTATTTTATGGCAGAATACTTACTGTGAAAAAGAAATGGGTAATAATTAACCAGATTCCTCATTTGTGTTATGTAACTTGTTACAATACCTTTAGAAAACTTTGTAGTAGCGTTTACTAGGGTTTAAAGTATATATGCATAACCTGTTACCTGAAAAAAAATACCGAAGATACACATCAGGATGTTTATAGAAGCATAGTTTATACTAGTTAGAAGTTAAATGCTGCCAGTGTTCGATGAAGGAAAATTTTTGAGTAACTTGGGGCTTACTTATTGAACAGGAGCTATAGAGAAATGAAAAATTGAAGGCAGAACATGCACACAATAATGACAATCACAACAGTCATGCATACACTTCAGAGCTAACGAGTATACTGCTTGGAAAAGTCATAAAGGATGTCTAATTCCCGTACCTCATAAATTTTTGAGTTTTAAAAAATATGGAAAATTACAGAGAAAGCTATGATAACACTTCTATTTGATAGCAAACAACTCCAAATGTTTCTTGACTTCAAAATGTTTTTGCTTCTTTTAAAGAAAACAAATACGTAAATGTGTTGAAAATCCATACTCATTCTCTGTGCCATTCATTTTATGCTCAGGGTTAAACTGTATGCACAGCTTGGAAGCATCCTTCTCAATCATACTGTTGAGGTGTGTGACTTAAATGCTCACAATTCTGAAATCTGTGCCATTTTATTTTTAGAATTCTTTGTGTGTGCTAAGCATGGAACCCAGGGCTTCACAAGTGCTAGGCAAGTGCTTCACTATTGAGCTAGATTGTGGTTTTGATACTTTAAAATTACCTTCAGCAAGAGCCTACTTATCTTTTGCCATATGAGCCTTCCAATTAATTTCGTATATTCAGGAATTATTCATATTGCCTTTTCTATATCTAGTTTATTCATACTATGTCAAAGTTATCTACAATTGATGAAATGTACTGAATGGAACTGAATGGAATTTTGGACAAATAAAAAACTTAATTAATTATGTTCTCTAGATTTTGTATGAAGAAGAGCACAGCTGTAGGTGGATCCACTTTACTATCCAATTACAAATCCAGACTGCTCTCAAACTCACGGTGTAGCAGACGATGAACTTGAATTCCTGAAATTGCTGCCTTCATTTCTCAAATGCCAGGATTATAGGTGTGATCTTCGACTACTTTTAAAGTCAAAATTCAGTTGGAATAAATGCATAACACACACTATCGTAAAACAAAATTTCACAGCGTAGCACAAAACTGGTGGGTGATTTTTATTTCATTTGTTTCATCCCATTCTCTTCCATTTTGTTTTGTATTTATCATTTCTACAGCCACTGTGCGTTTTGATGTAAATGTTGGAATATTTTGCTCTTTGTGGATCTCAACCTTCTAGTCCCATTGTCTTCTCATCATCCAGCTCTCATGATAAACTATTTATTTTATTTTATTTGTCTAGATTTAAAGTGTTCCAAGTCTAGCTCATTTTGCTGGGGTCAGGGCAACTATCATTCATTATCTTTTGTTGAATTCATATCAGGAAAAGAAGAGAATTTATCAAAAGCCCATTTGACAGATTTTTTTTCAACAGTATTCTCCCCCTTTCAGATTTCTTTATAAATGAAGTTTTCTTTCTGTAACTCATTTGTACACAGGTAAGATTGCTTTTTTTTTTTTTTTTCTAAAGTGAGATTCAGTAAAGGGAAGCCCCCATCAAGGCTGTAGCTATGTGCATGGCCTCTTTATTAGCTTAAAAAAATGTTCTCTATTTTATGTAATAGTGATAAAACTGAAGAATTATGATAGTAATAGCTTCCCTAATTAATTCAGGGGAGGAGAGTAGGCAGAGTAAGAAGAGAATAAGAGAGAACATTATTTGTCTTATATTTGAAATATTTAAAAGGCAGGGGGAAATACATTTGGAATGTTAGTTCTCAAAACTGCTTTATCTAGGAATGTTGGAGACTGAAACAACGGTTTTCATTGGCTATAAACAGTGAGTGAGAGGGGGCTGCAGGGAGTTTGGGATCTGGGTGAAGTTGTGTTCTTTGTGGTTCTATCTGCACTCTTCATTCTAGAGAGTCACCGGGCACTAGGCTCAGAGGGAGCTCTGAGTACTCAGGAATCTCCTCACTAAAGCCTCCTCCCAAGGCCACACCTTTTTTTTTTCTTCCTTTAACAGCTTCCTTGCCAGGTTTTACATTAGAGGAAATGAAATGAATGTTCTGTGGAAATGTAGCACAGGTAGGCTGCTCTCAAGTCTTTTTTTTTTTTTTCTTTTGCCTTTTCTTCCTTCATTTTGCTTTTTAGCTCTTGGTGAGTGTGTGAGGCTGATGAGTCATCTCCTTCAAGAAACAGCGGGAAGGGTGAGTCATAGCTTTGAAACTGTGGTTGTGATTCCCCAAGTGGATTGTTTAACCCGTGGTTGTCCCTTAGGGGTCGATGAGAACATCCTTCATCTGTTCTTTAATTTTCACAAACCCCTTTGACAGCACCAGGGAATGTTGGTGTCCTGGTAAAAACTCCAGTGGTGTCCACAAAGCAAATGTTTACCCGCTTTATATTTGGGAGTTTCCCTGCCTTCACAGTAAAGCTGGAAACTGTTTTGGGAAGCATGTTTTAAAGCATATTTCCCCCTTAATTCTACTATAATAAGTACTATGTTTAACCTTGCTATTGTGAGTTTCCTACTGCATCACAAACTAAAGTATATAAAGCATTTCAAGTACTAAACAAAATGAGATTACGTATCTCTTTTATATTCTTAATTCTACTTTAAATACATGATGTTTTTATTTCCTAAGGCTAGAAATGTGCATGAATACACCAACATTTCTGTTACTGAAGTTAAACATATAAGTAAAAATAGATAAAAAATGGAGATTAACTAGAGTTTATATAATTATCTTTTCCCTTCTCAGTTGACAACATCAATATGATGCTGGAAAGCTAGTTTACATGTGTCAGAATCAATTTTCCATTATGTCAATCATATTAATTTGTATCCAATTAGTTAACTTTTATTTTTAACACATACATGCAGCATGCATCAAAAATGTAGATGACTTTCTGTTAAGTATTTATATTAAATGGTCACATCGGCTTCCTTGAAATTGGCATTACTATTTTGTAATGTGCCATAAGTATTGCCAGTCTCAAAATAGTACCTCAATTGGCTTTTTAAGTTTCATTCTCTTTCTTTTTTGGCAAAGACTTTTCACTGTAGCTCAAGATAGACTTCATTACTGTGAAATGAAGGCGAAAGCTGACCTTGAACTCACGGCAATACTTTTGTTTCAGCCTCCCCAGTGATGAGATTGCATTTCTGGTCTAGTGATTACCTGGTGTGTGTGTGTATGTGTGTGTGTGTGTGTGTTGTGTATACATAATTAATTTATGGAGCTCAGAGATCAACCTCAGCAGTGGATGTCATCTCCATTGGTTTGAAACTCACCAATTAGAATCAACTGGATGATCAATGAGCCTCCAGGATCGCTCTGTCCCTGTCTCTCCACTGTTAGGATTATAGTCATGCCATTATGCCAGGTTTTTAGATTTAGCTTCTGGGATCAAACTCAGTTCATCGTGCTTGCGTGACAAGCACATTTGTGACAAGCTACCATCCAGTAACTATTCACTGACTTTTATGAGCATGAAATACAAAATCACCCAAAAGGCCTGTGAGGAAAATAAAAAAGGACAAAATATAAAACTACCATGCAAGCAAAACCTTACTGGGCAAAGTTCAGAGGAAAGGGCAGATACTATTGTACGGTTGTGTGAAGAATGAAATGATTCACTGTCGAGGAGCCTGGAAAAATTTCCTCCCGGACATCAGGTAGGGATTTTCCCGACCCCTGCAGTATGGTAGTTGCTAACCCATTAGGCTTTACAATTCACGGTTCCAGGTCTTTGCTTATTGCTCAACTCTTCTATGACACCTGGGCTCTACTTATACTCTAGCTATGTACTTTGAGTCTATTCAGAAATTAAGGAAATAGGCTCTCCTCTAATACCAACATTTTAATTAAATGTCACTATAATTACATTTTTAGCATTGATTATTGAAAATGCCAAAGCAATCTGGAGCTTCAGATTGTTACTATTTCTTATTTATGCTAGTACTAAAGTCTTGTTTGGAGACCAGGAGCACTGCTGGTGAAATATAAAAAGTACTCATTACAGGATAATTTTAAAACCTACAAATAACTTGTATCTCAATTGTCTGTAAGTTCTTGAGAGTAAGAATAGCCTTAGTGATAGAACTTCTACATACAAAAATGGCAACAAATTCAAAGAAATAAAGTAAGTTTCCAAGGTCACATAGTAGTAAGTGTTATGGCTGAAATTAGCACCAAGTCCTCCCCCTTTTTCTCTTCTCTTTTAGTGTTGTAGTTAATAAGCTTTTTATTCTATAATGTGCTTAGTTTGAAAGAAGTTCCAGTTCCTTAGGACGGAGCATGGAGTTCAACATAGCTGAAGCTCAGTGCATTCTGCCACTCCTTGAAGGAATAAAACCACAGAAGGAAGAGGAGGAGAAAAATCCATCCTTCCTTTTCCGTTCTGTAACTGAGTCGGTTCAGGGAGGAGTCTTGCAAGACTAGTTTCTCCTTGGTTTTGACCAAGGCTGAGCCAGTTCTTCAAACAAAAGACAGCCAGTTACTAAATTCTGGTTGCTAGGTGTGGCCTCTGTTCATATCCTATAAAATCAGAAGTCCAGCCCTCCACTTTCAGACTGAAACCATCTGAACAGAGCCTCTCTTCAGTGCCTTGGAAGCCAAGAAAATAAAAAGGTAAGGCTAAGTTTTTGTTTTACAGAGTTCTGCTTGGTTTAGAAACTACACAATTCTGTGAGAACTACTTGCTTGGTTTTCCTGGGGCTTCACAGAGAAGTGGTGTGACTGCTGAACTTGCCTCTAGTTACAGCTAGTGGAATTTAAAACCATTTAATGAATCTTACTGTAAAAATTATACTGTGATTTTATCTTTTAGACATCAAAAATTATAAAGTTTTACCGTTCTCATCTACAAAATGCAGTTTGGAAACTCTGGCAAGTTTACTTTATTGCCTTGTTGCTGAGTTACCAGAGACAGGAAGAAAGTGTGCTCCTGCTCCGGCAATCTTAAAAGGAGCTTTTTCTTTCCTCCTCTGTGGAACGTGTTGCCTCCAGAGCTTTGTGTTGTTTTGTGAGTACAGAGCAGGAGTCAGGATGGAGGTGGGAGCCCAGAGAACCCAGAGGTGGCAAACTGCAAAGGACTTTTTCAAAAGAGAAGATTCTTGTAGCTAAATATTTTTCTTTAATTAAACTAAGTGAATATCAGCGTCAAAGTCGTCCCCATGCCCTCTTTTAATTAACGTTTTGAATGAATGTTGTGTTTACTCATAGTTTAAGAAGGTCCGCTTATTACTCCGTTCGTTTAAACAGGGTGTGGCCACACTCCCTCCCTATTATCTCCGTGTCATCGACAGGCTTTTCTGGTGCACATTTAAAAACCTAAGGGGAAAGCAGATTTTTCCTCGGTGATGTCATGTCAGATGATAAATCATTCCACTGACTGCCAGATGGGCCCACAGAAACTCTCCTTTTTAATGGCATCTTGTAGGTCACACAAGCTAAGGATATAAACGCCCTAGACAAACACAAGGCAGATCTAAAGTTACCCATCCTTGCAGAGCCTTGCAAGAGCAAGAGAGGACGATCCCTAACTACACACTTTTGGCATATTACAAAACCTTTCTTCTGGGACTTTTCTCTTAGCCCTCTTGAAAATACTAATAAAATTCCTTTTCTTCCAAATCCTGTGAGGCAGTTAAGAAAGTTGTGCTTCTTCTTTCCATAGATGTCTATCTACAAGTGTGTGAATTCTGAGAAATCAATGTCCCCCAGTACTGAGTGAGGAATGTGTTTTGCTAGCTACAGATAAGGCCTGTTTCAGCTGATTCATATGTGGCAAAATGCTGGTTTCCTGATTCAGAAATGGTTTCTTCCGCAGAAATTACATGGTTACCAGAGGACAAGGAACACACCCACACCTCTTAGATACCAAATATGAGATTGATGTTGACAGGACTATAGCAACACGCTTAAGGAACCAGCTTAACTTACATGCTTATTAAATACCCTCCCTCCCTTCCTCCCTCCCTCCCTCCTTCCCTCCCTCCCTCCCTCACCTCCCCCTTCACTTTCTTTTGAGACAGAGTTTCTTTGTGTAGCCCTGGCAGTTCTGGAACTGGCTCTATAGACCAGGCTGGCCTCGAACTCACAGAGATCTGCCTGCCTCCTCCAGCCAAGTGCTGGGATTAAAGGCGTGCGCCACCACCGCCTAGCAATTTGCTACATTTTAAAATTCAGAAGAAAACAAAAGAATTTTCTGATCTCTAGCGGATGAATCATGAGCAATTCTAAAAGTCAAACTTTTTTCCTTCAAACTTGCACATATTTGTCAGAAAGATCAAATATTCAATCTACTTAATTTCTCCTTCCTTTAGGCTAGTTCTCGTCTATCAGTATTCAAGGTGAAACGTAAGCTACAAGCATCAGAGCTTCAATGGATATTAGAAACGTTATTTCAGCATTCTCATTTTCTAAATTAAGTTTCATGCTGTTTGTAAAGTCAGATTTTGTTAGAGAAACTTCAAATAA